ATATATGTATATGTGTATATATATATATATATATACATATATATATACATATGTGTATATATATATATATATGTATATATATATACATATATATATATATATATATATATATATAGTAAAAAAAATGTAAGATGAAGCTGAATTAAGTGCAGCTCGAGTTCAGCAGTTTGACAGCTGCAGGGAAGAAACTGTTTCTGAGCCTGGTGGTCTTGCTCTGAATGTTCCTCAGTTGCCTGCTTGAGGGGATGGGCTGGAACAGACTGTGTGCAGGATGAGTGGAGTCCTTCATGATGCGTAGCGCCCTCCCCCTTCATCGTGAAGTGAAGAGGTCTTAGGTGGTGAGAAGGCTGCTCCCCACATTTTTGTGCAGTCTTAACCACCCTCTGCAGAGCCATTCTCTCAGCAGCAGTGCAGCTGCCACGCGACACAGTGATGCATTTGCAGATAACATTCTCCACCACACATAGATAGAATCTCCTCAGGACAGAGCTCCCAAGTCCAGTTCACTGCAGCTTCCTGAGGAAGTAGAGATGCTGGTGGGCCTTCTTGACCAAACAGGAAGTATTGGCTCTCCAGGTGAGGTCACTGTATATACTTTGTATACACTCCCAGGTACCTGCAGTAGAAAACCACCTCCACAGCTGCTCCTCCGATGTGTAGGGGATGAAGAAGATCCTTGTCCCTTCTGAAATCCACCACCATCTCCTTGGTCTTCTTCACAATGATACAGAGATCATCTCTGTATCACTGCACCAGATGTTCCACCTCCTCTCTGTATTTGGACTCATCATTGTTCGTGATGTGTCCCATTACTGTTGTGTTGTCTGCAAACTTCACTATATGGCAGCTGGGATGTCTAGCCGAGCAGTCATATGTCATCAGAGTGAAGGGAGCTCAGCACGCAGCCCTGGGGCAAGCCAGTGCTGAGGGTGATGGAGGAGGAGACAATGTTGTAGATCCTGACAGTCTGAGGTCTGTTGTTCAGGAAGTCCAGAATCCAGTTCCCCAAGAATTTCTGCTCTCCAAGTGGGTGAGGGCTATGTGAACCACCGATGAAATGGCATCAGCAGTGGAGGGGTTCCTTCTGTAGGCATTTTGATATTGGTCCACAGTGACGTCGATAGAGTCCTTGATGTGGGTCATGACCAGTTTCTCGAAGCAATTCATGACTTCCGATGTTAAGGCTATAGGTCAGTAGTCATTCAGCCCTGTCACTGTGGAGCATTTGCATACAGGGAATGGACACCCTTATCTTCAAACATGTTGTTTGTAATGCACAAACTGACTAGCACAGGCGTCCAACAATAGAATACCACTCACGTTCATATCAGAAAAAACGTTCTTCTTAAATATGCCTCCCTGGGTCACAATGTTGATACCCATGTGGCCATTGTAGTCCCTCAACAGAAGATAGAAATCTCCAGCTGGAGCACTTTCAATGACCCCTTTAAATACTTCCAGAAGGCTGAGTACTCTGAACTGCTGTTTGGTACATAGTAACATATAACAGTCAGAGTGGTTTCCCATACCCAAAGATGGAAAGAAGTTATCTTCTCATCTACCTGGGAAAAGTCCCACACACAGGCACCAAGCCAGGGGGCAGTAAGTTGACCCACACCTTTCCAACACCTTTCACCATGGGCAACTCTACAATAAAATTATCTGTAGGTCCAGCCCCTCTTAGAGAGATTAGTCTCCGACCCCAATCTGTGCATGAGATGAGCCTGACTGTTACTAGTCAGTACCTCTCAACCTTACGCAGAAGCTCAGACTCCTTCCCCATCAGAGTGGTAACATTCCATGTCCTCAACTGTTTTAGCCTAACAACTTTGTTAAGTCAGTGTCAGAGCACCAAGGCCTCACCCTTCGGCTACCACCCATAGCATTATACACCCAAGGTGTTTGTATCATATTAAAAATGTATAGTTTAAACTAGGGTTTGTGAACTGAGGCTGAAAGGATTGCAAGGAAATACGTGTTTTATTGGGAAGATGTTAAGGGAAGTTTTAGGTGCATTCACACGAGCCCTGTTTAGTCCGCTTTAATTGAACTCTAGCTCATTTTCCTAGAAAGTCCGTCTCGTTTCGGGAGGTATGAACGTGCCATCGAACTCTGTCACGGAACAAAAAGGCGAACTCTGGCCCGGGCTAAAACCTAGGTCTCGGTCCGATAGAAACGAACTCCAGTGCGGTTCGAGTACAGTGTGAATGCAAACAGACCTAGCCCCGCTTCATCTCCATCACCAAGTCACTTCATCAGTTCAACAAAAAGTAGCATAGCTCAGCCTTGAATTATGTGGTGATACATCCGCAAGATAGCTGACAGCTGGTAGTTTCCCCAGGAACACCCAGTCTGGATAAACTTAGGAGGAAAGTGATAGTGATCAAATAAACAACAATTCAGAAGTTATGGTCCCTCCTGCAGGGGGTGGGCCCACAGGAGGGCAAACTCATAATATATTCAGGCTGATCCTGACCGGGCCACATGGATAGAGGCTCCCTCAGGCCTGACTCGGGGGTGGGGCCCTGGTAACCCGTGTGTGGGTAAAGAACATCAAGCGTCTTGTTGTCTTCTGTTCTTTCGAGTGTTCTGAAAAACTTTGTCTGGCCCTTAATTAAGACTTTCCCTAAGGTTTTACTATTTTCTTTTATACATTTATTTTATGCTTTGGGGTAAATATAAAGTTTAAATTATATTTATTAGTCGCATAATTTTGCAACCTAATATAGCTTGTATTTGACAATATACTTTGTGACAGTTTAATACCTAAAGACCAATTTTACCAGTAATTAAATTTTCAAAACTACTGACACTGAAGAAAAACAAACAAACCCTGAACCAACATATCTATATATTTATATATTTTCCTTTTTTGCAATTATATGGAGTTCATGCTTTTTTCATAAATTTTAAAATACATTAAAAAGTTTGTTTAAACAAACACAGAATGGCAGTTCTTGAAACAAACTGATATGAAGTTAAAATCTACACTTTTTAAAATATCTTTTGAGATAAATACATGTACAGCATATAACACACAAACATGAACAGCGTTCAGATTGTGACCTGTGATTGTCAACTACACTCACTGACAAAAGAAGTTCAGTACACAGAAGGAATGGTCCTTTTTGAATGTTATTTGTCCACATCCAGACCAGTGATAGATTTAAAATTATTTGATTCTAGGAAATGACACATACAGACACCAGAGGGTATAAAAGTCATGGAATCTTGAGTGGGGTAATAGTTTGAGCAAGCATCTTCTGTGTCCATCAGTCAAGCCAGTGAGTGAAGGTCACCAAAACCAGAATGCCTTGTAGATGCATTAGGAAGCATTACTTGTGTATGCAGGAATAGTGCAACAGTCTGGCATAAGAAGTGTACACAAGTTAAAGTGGCCTGATGTTGAAACCAGTAGGTCCAAGAGAGCACATTGTGAAGCTTGTGAAGCGTCTTTGTAGACTGATACAACCGAGGTGCTCCACAGAATGCCACAGGAAGCCCTTCCTTCCTGTGGCTATCAAACTTTTCAACTCCTCCCCTTTCTACACATAGAACCATAAAATTAATCCTGTACTACAATAAACACTTTAATGTTTCTTTCTACACCAGACCTGTTTTAAACCTTAATTGTTGATATTTTTATATTCTCTGTTATTTTTTATATCTTGTGTGATTCCTTGTGTATGTTCCTTTGTATCGCCTGCGGGATCAGTAAAGTTCTATCTTATCTTTCCAGTCACTCAAAACAGACCACTTCAAGAGAGGATTGTTTTATTGTGCAAAAAATACTCCAGATGACATCTATGTCTGCCAGATGCAGATATTGGACTTCTTACAGCACTTCATTTCAACATGCATTGTGTTTTGACAACTGGCAGTCTACTGGTTAATGTGTAGGCTGCCATTAGCATCTGAGCAGATACCAATCCTGCATTTGTACTGGTGCCATACCCAGGATGCCTGGGTTGATGACAAGTGATATCATGTCAAGTTTAGTGAAAAAGCTCAATTCTGCATTACCATAGAATGTGCAATTTTTTGGCAGCACAGAGGTTACGGGTTCAATCCTGCCAATGAACTGGGGAGACACATTAGTATTAAATCTGGCCTTACGATGTAGGGAGCTATAAGGTATGATTTCAGGGTACTTCTGGAAATGGTTTGGGGGATCCAGATGGCACAGCTTTATGTCAGTAAAATCCTGTGTCTGCATGTCTTACCAGTCCTGAGACAATAGCCTGGTATTTCAACAAGTCAAACACAGTTTCTGTGTCTACTGTTGGTATCATAATGAGGTTTTCCATGGGCAGCCAGGTCCCCTTACCTTTTCCCAGTCCATCCTGAGTGGAATCAGCTTGGGCATCAAGAGAAGACTAGATTAGAGAGTGATGAAGGAGAGGAATCAACGGCTGTATGACTGTTCTGCAACAAATCACAGCATACATCCAAAATAGTGATATGGGACTAGCAGCGTGCCTGCATTGCCATCTCCATTATCAGTTTGATTTGATTTTTGTAATCATTACAATACAATAACACTAGTTTTCAAGAATTACAGTTTCAATTCCACCATTCTAACTGTGTACTCAAACATTTTATATCAGTGAGTGTGCTGTGTCAGACGTGCTAGTTCCTGAACGCTTCTCCTTTGGTCATTTAAGGCAAAGAGGGAATAAATACAGCAGGGTGGAAAAGACAACATATGACCGAGGAGCCAAAACCGCGCTTTTTTTTTCTGACCTTATTCATTTTGCTTTTTACCACAGGTATGAGGCAGAGGACCCACTCAGGACAAGGCAGAGAAGTTAACAGTAAGGAAAAGCATTAAAAAGTATAACGTAATGGATCATCAGAATCCAAATAATTTTAAACCTTTGAAGCTATTATATATTTTTCATGCATCTATTGAATTATTTCTTTGATACATAGTTAAGTACCTTTCATTGCATGTTTTACTAATTCTGCAACTTAAGGTAGCATTGTACTGTGCTTCAGGTTTAGCACTGAGAAAACAATGACCAAAAGAAATCACATCAGATAGAAACCCTGGTTTACTGGGGTAAAACATTCCAGATAATAACGAGTAAACAGACCAATGTGATGATGCTTGTGGTTTGTTTTAAGTTCATAGAGAAGCATGAGCTTTTCTTTGTATCTGATAGTAGCTAACATGTTCTCCAGCTCCACTGTATTAAATATTGAGTCTGAATCCGTAGATCCATTCTTAATTAAAAGTGTTCTTCAAGGCAGCAGATTGCCACTGCTGCTACCAAAGATTATATATCTGACAAATATTTAAACAAAAACACGAACAATCAAATGTGGGTCATCGTGTATGTTATGTAGAAAAAAAGTCATTTTTCTTAGTGTATGTCCACTCGAGGCTTGTCTCCTTTCTCGGAGGGGAGGATCATGTGAACATAAAGAGGTATTCTTGGCTCTTTAATACGTCGTCCCGTAGATCAGCAGTTGTGCATGGACCAGTTTCTACTGGTCGAGCAACTGCTTTTATACATTTGTCTCCAACCCGTTCATGTCCACAGAACAGTGGTCCTTGTCTCTGTGCTCTCGCTTGTGATGAGGCCCATGAGCATGCTTCTTCTTCTCCACTGGCCGAATCCCCTCCTCCAGCTGGATCAGACGGGCCACTTCAGGTGTGAGGTGGTCCTGCTTGCTGCCCGGTGGAGGCTGGTAGCAGCCGTTCTTCTGGTTCTGGTACGTCATCATCTGCTGGATGCTTATCATGGGTTTGGTTTCACATATCAGAGGCACCTAAAAGACAAATGGAGGAGAAGACTCAGAATTTTATTCTTCAAAAAAAAAAAAAGGCAATGCTAAAAACATTGTTCAAACACATGAATTGTCAAGAAAATTAATGCAATTCAGAATCATTACTTCTTACATACTCTGAATGATTAGCTAAGGGATAGCCTGAACACAATAAGACTCATTAATGCAAACACAGTTTTATAGCCTTTACATACTGTATTTTTTGCAATACACAATTATTTACATAGAATTATGTGGTTTATTTCAAATGCAAAAATGAGCTGTAGCCCTTTTGTCAGCATTTTTACAACATAACCATGTTAATAACTATAATGTGGAACTGATGTTGGTGTAAAAGTTTATAAAGCAGGGCAATGGTTTACAAACTTTTTATAGCATTACACCTCGAAAAATATTAAGCTCACCAAGTACATTGCAATAGACATTAAAAAATAACAGCATACGCTCATGTTTATATGTGACATAAATGAGCAAACTGGTTGAAACCATAAACCATCTCCAGTTGAAGGATGTGATCCTGGCTCATCTTCTGTTTCTTAATAATGGAATACAAATAAATAGATTATTCGAATCAATATTTTTCACATTTTGAATATTTTCGGTTTTATAAACACTTTACTGGTGCTGCTCAAATAGCTAGAGGACATTTAGTCATCATTATCCACTACAATTTCCAGTACGTTCTCAGTCTATAATAATGTCTGTTTAATGCAAAAATCCTATTGGGATTAAACCATTCATCCTTTGGCTAACAGTGTATTTTAAGTGTTTGTCCCAGTTCAGCTTGCAACAATGAACTTGTTATGATAGCATTCCATTTTAAGTCAGCATCACATCAGGCTGCAGTTGTTGGCAACTATCTGGTGAACGGCGTTCACAAAGGAGATTTCAATATGGTCAGAAACCATTTTGCTCATGAACACTGAAAATCTAAAGAGACAGCAGCTAAAAATGTTGAGTGGTTAAATAATTCCCCACCATCACAGCAAGGTGAGATACTGGATTTGGTCCAGTCCTGTCAGACCTATACTGTTTCTCCAAACTAAAACTATCTACAACAGGTAAGATACTAATTATTTATAACTTTTCCACAAATGATTAAAACATTTCTGAACTTTACATATAAGTTATACTGTTTGTTTTTGCATTAATATTATTATAGAAGGATCTTAAATAATTGTGGATATGATGAATGGTTTGATTGTGAACTTTAAGATGATAAACATAAAAAAAAAAACTGAATGGAAAAGATGTTCCCATCTAATTTTATTTCGGTCAGAAGTGAAGTTTCTTTCATGGTTGAGATCTGGTGGTCTAATATGAAGACTGTACAGACATGAACCCAGGAGGTCCACTTGTAGTTAAAGAGCTATTTACCATATCTACCAAGTCTGCCATATATCCCACTGACCTGACCAAATGAATACATGTTTTTACACACAGTTTTCACACACAAACCTCATTTGTGACTTAAATAAAAAGAAATGATCTGGATGTTGTGAACCATCTGCATCAATCAGTCTGGTCTGTATTGCTCTCACCTGCTCTCCCTCTTTGACAAAATCTTTTCTGCAGATATGAGCCATGATGCCTGTAGCCAGAGCGTCACCCATCACATTGACCATGGTCCTGAATCGATCCCTGAACAAGAGTCAAAAGTCCATTTTTTTCTGATAAAACATATTTATAAAAAGCTGCTGCTCATAATAATAACACACAGATTGAGCACAAACAGTAAAAATTATAAGATGAAATAAAAAATAAATGCCAATTAAATTCTAAGATTACTTTTTGTGACGTAATAAATTACTTTTTTCTTTCCAAATTGTGAATTTGTGAAGTAACATTTTAAATTTAAAAAATACACAAAGCAATTTACAGCTTTTTTGTTTAGATGATTTAACGTGTACAGGATGTGATTAGTCCATGCAGCTTGGACTGGAAGGAGACAGTGACGTGTGACGCACACTGAGTGACAGTCGTCTTAGTGGTTTTGCTTTAGCCTCCGCTCAATTTTTTACTTGTTTAGCGGTTTAGCTTTAGCAAAGCTCACTTTTTGGTTAGCTGTGCCAACCACTGGTTACACATCTGTAATTACTGAATGTGAACTACTTTTCCCCAATTTCCCAAAATTTGCACTTAAAAAATGAAAACACAAGCATATACTTACAAAGCCCAATCAACTGCAATGATGAGCGTGATGTCATCAGTGGGCAGACCCACAGAGGTCAACACAATCACCATGGTAACGAGTCCAGCCTGTGGGATTCCAGCTGCTCCGATGCTGGCAGCTGTAGCGGTGATGCTGAGTGAGAGACCAGACAGAGAGGCAGGGCTGTTACAGAGCGTACAGAAACAGTCATGGCCAAAGCTCAGGGCTGTGAACAAGCTTTTAGAAGTGAAAGTGTGTGTGTGTGTGGGGGGGGGGGGGGGGGACTACATGAGTTCAGGGACAATAGTATACGAAAAAGAGGAATGCAGTGCAGTACTCTGAAAATGCACTTAGCTGCCACAAGGAAGTTTTATATTTTAATATGTTATACAATCAGCATAATTTAAATTCAATTCATGGTCTTAATAAAGTATGAACTCCCCCTGTCATCTCAGCAAAGAAGTTAAAATGCATTTTAATAGGATTTGTATGATTTAATCATCACATGTCTAATGCTATCAAAATGTATTTTGAATACAGAAAACATGGAACATAAAGTAACTGGCGTCCAGCGTCACAGTGTCCTACTTGGCAAAGTTCACAGTACAGCCTTGCTGACCCAATGAAGCACGCTGTGTGCATGAACATCACTGGTGTACGGCTCTGCTGAACAGCTCGCTGAAGCTAACAGATTGTTAAGATGTGACTTTATCAAAGCAGCATCTTATCAAAGTCACAAGACAAACATGGTGAAAACATTTCATCTTTGTTCTGCATTCAAAACAAAACAGGCCGACTTATTGTGCACACTTGAGGAAAATATTCTGACATTTTTAAATCACATGCTTTCACTATTGATTTTCAGCTTTTCAAGTACATCTGGTCATGAAACATTTGCTTGTAATCAATATACTGTAAATGATTTTAAAAATTACATTATTGATTACATTAGTCTTTTGTCCTTCACCATTTTTGAACTGTACACTGATTACTTCATCCTGTTACGTTCATTTAAATTTCTAATTGTTTATGACTTCAGGAGATGATGCTTTGACTCCTGTTTCTTGTGCAACAGTTTATGAAGGCACATTAGTTTAAAATGCTTTCAGGCCTAAATTTCAGCTGTTTGAGTGTTTCCATACAGGCAATGCTCTTAAGCAGCAGCATCAGACAATACCATAATGATTTCATGCACACTTTTTTTTTTTTTTTTTACAAAAAAAAAAATTGTCTCTGGATTTTTATTGTTTTCTTTTAAATCTCATATTTCAGGTGGAACTGCTTTGAGTTTAGCAAAAAAAGTTGTGTACAGCTCCATATGTATATATATGTATATGTACTTTTTTATTTCACACATGTTGAACCCTGCAGCTTATACAATGCTGCAGCTAATTTATGGAAAACATTTTTGAACGGGCTAACAAGCTTCATGCCGCCAAAACATTTAGCTTTGTCACACCCAGGCAATCACAGAGCTACTCAATGCATGTCTCTCTAGGGAGGTGGGTCCTCATGACTCAGTGAGACTACCTCTTTAAATAAAGGTCCATCAATCCATCCATCCATCCATCCATCCATCCATCCATCCATCCATCCATCCATCCATCCATCCATCCATCCATCCATCCATTATCTTCCGCTTATTCCGAAATCGGGTCGTGGGGGCAGCAGCTTGAGCAGGGAGGTGCAGACATCTCCTTCCACATCCACCTCTTCCAGCTCTTCTGGGAGGACTCCTTGGTGTTCCCAGGCCAACAAAGAGACATAGGCTCTCCAGCGTGTCCTGGGTCTTCCCCGGGGTCTCCTCCCAGCCGGACATGCCCGGAGCAACTGAGGCGCCCAGACAGCATCCTTACCAGATGCACGAACCACCACAACTGGCTCCTCTCGACGTGTAGGAGCAGTGGTTCTACTCTGAGTCTCTCCTGATAACTGAACTTCTCACCCTATCTCCAAGGGAGGGTCCAGATACCTTGTAGAGGAGACTCATTTCAACCTCCTGTATCCACGATCTCATTCTTTCAGTCACTACCCAGAGCTCTTGACCATAGGTGAGGGTAGAAACATAGACCGACTGGTAAACAGAGAGCTTTGTCTTACAGCTCAGCTCTGTCTTCACCACAACGGACCGATACAGAGTCCGCAATACTGCAGACGCTGCACAAATATGTCTGTCAATCTTAAAGGTAAAAATAATAATACAGTCTGACCAATGAAGTTACTGAACAGGTCACAGTGGACCAGTGAAATGGGAAGGGGAGGAAAGAGTGGAGAGGGGGACTCCCCTGCATGCGCAGAACACCTTTTGCTTCGCTGCTAGTGGATCCTGACAGCAGGAGGAACATGAAGATAGTGAAAGGTTACTGTATTTTTTTCCCCCAGCCGCATTAAAGGCACTGTTCAGAAAAAAACCCAAAACATTTACTCTATGTTTTTGTGTATGTTACCAGTGCATACTGTATTTAATTAAAAGTAAAAAAAAAATTTCTGTGTAAATATCTCATGTTACAACATGACACTTGCGGCTTATAGACAAGCGTGGCCTATACATGTATAAAATTATTATTTTATTATTATTAATGGGTGCGGCTTATATTCAGGTGTTCTCTATAGTCTGGAAATTACAGTAATTTACAAAACATATAACTATCATTAGGGTTTGCACCAGAGCTTGTTTGTTTTTTATTTTATTTTAACTGATTGATTTGAACTTTTTTTCCTTCACTTTTATAGTATTTTTTATTTCACATAACTTTAGTTTTTTTTTTTCTATTTTTATTTTCAATGTAAAATCTTTATTTCTGCCACTTGAAGTTTATTCTTAAAATACTACTTTGGCTTTTTTCCACAACATTTTGGCTTCATTTTTAACATTTTCATGTTATTATTGAAATTCTACTTTAACTTAATTCTTAATATTTTGCCTTTGTCATCCCAAAACTCAGGAACTACTAAAATCTTTCTCATTTCCACCCCCCACCCCCCGAGTGGCCTTAATATACTAACAGTATATTTTATTCTAATATCATGAACAAGCAAATAACTGAACACTCCTTCAGCCCCAGAAAAGCAGGGTTCGAGTTTCCTGATTCTCACAGCGACCCGACCGAGTTTTCATTTTGTGCAGAGCAGAAGGGTTGGAGCTGGGTGGACATACAGATGGAGGAGTTGTCCTGGGCCAAACGTCACAGGGACAGGGCACAGAGAGGGAAATGATTATAATTCTCCCGTGACATGTGAGATGAGTAATACAGGTCATATGGGTTTTACTGATGAAGGATTATAACGAGGGACAGTGCACAGACTGCAGCCATGAGGAGAGGTTTGCTCATAATAACAGACACGAGAACAGATCAGATGGCGCTAAAGATGTGTTACGTGACCTGAGGGGTCCCCTTTCACTTTTGATTTAAATGAAGTTATCAGACAGTTGTTAATATTTTTCTGTTTGTCCACACAGAGCTGGAGACTGCTTTACCAGAAATCAGATCAGACTAAGAAGCTCACACGAGGTATAATCTGTGTGACATTTACATATTTGAGAATTTAGTAAATCCTGTAATAGCATTAATAATTCAGAGTTTAATATGCAGTGTTAGATTCATTCACATGTCGCCTCTCCTTTCAGGCTGTAATACTTGATTTGACCCAGATGAATGTAAGATTCTTATGCTCGACTTATATGTAGTTTTTATTGTTATAATTGTTACTGAAATAGTAGATTACACAAGTATGATTGTGCAATTTTTAAATGCATCTTAAATAAAAACTATACCAGATTTTTTTTAGGGGAAATAATAATTTTTTAACAAGAAAAAGGAAGTTTACAATAAAGAATCCATCTTTCTATAAAGGTACTGCAGTGTCATGAACACCGGTCAAAAACAATAATAGTAAAATAAAATAAGATATAAAATCAGCACAGTCTTTTCTCTTATTGATGTTTATTGGCCTTTAATGAAAAAACTGCAAACAAAATGTGACTGGCTGCCAAATACCCAGTGGTGGAGAAAGTACTCAAACACTGTATTTAAGTAAAAGTACAAACAGACAAAAAATGTACTCTAGTAAAAGTAGAAGTACCACATTAACATTTTTACTTAAGTAAAAGTAAATAAGTACTTGCCTTTAAAGATACTTAAAGTATTAAAAGTAAAAGTACTTGCTGAATTACCTAATGCAATGGTCTACAGTATCATTAAGTGCGTCTACCGTATGTATATTTTCTGTACTACATTAATAGTGTTGTGTCATTTTAATGAACAATGCTGCAGATAATACATGTTTTTATTGTGTTTACTCTGTGACACAGTTAACACTTGGACTTGTGATTCTGTGCGTCAGAATTTTAGGGATGTCATACAGAGTTAAATGTCATTAAGCAAAATAAGAAAGAGAAATGATTATACCTTTGAAAGTTTTTATTTAACACAAATCAAAACCAATGTGTCATTTTAACTGCAGTAATCACATTTAAGTAAAAGTTGTCTGTTTGAAAAAAGGAGCATTAGACCTAACAAAGGAACAGACTGATCATTTCAACTCCAGTTTGTCGTCAATTCTAGTTAAAATACTGTCTATTCAACCTTGTAATGGGTCAATATTGAACAATATTTTAACTTTCTGACACTATTTTTCAAAACTTGGATCCGAGTGTCGAGACATTTGGAGACATCTCTTGTCTCCTTTCCTAACATCATGTACTGACACATTTTAATATTGTAGCAAGAATTTCTTGTTCAAGTTCAGAAGAAGTTGGTTTTCAAAGTTTTTGAGTCCAGTCTGGCTCTTTTGGGAGAGAGAATCTCTCCTGCTGTACTGAGCAGTCTTTCAATAAGGCCATGGGTGGCGCATATCTTCTGGCTGACTCTCTTGCGGTGGAATACATTTTGGGTGTGTTAGTGGTGCTGCGGGTGCACCCAGTTCAGTGACATATTTACTAGAATATATGTCATTGGCCCAGCTCTTCTTGAAGGCGGGTCTAACGTTACCTGCCCACTTTGCAGTGATTCACTGGACCAGCTCCCCTCTCACCACTGGTTACTTTCAAAGTAACAAACAAATAAAAAAAACGCAACATGAATGTAACTTGTAATGCCACACATTATAGAAATGTAGTGTAGTAGAAAGTACTGATACTTAATGTAAAATGTAGTGGAGTAAAAGTCGAAAGTACCCACGTTTAACTCTACTTAAGTAAAGTACAGATACATGAAAAATGTACTTAGGTACAGTAACAAAGTACTTGTACTTAGTTACATCCCACCACTGCAAATACCGCTTGTGTTTGTTTAGCTCCAGAAACAGCTGAAGTGACTGAAAATAGGTCAACAATGATGATGTCCATGGAAGAGTCATTTGGGGTCCAAAAATCTGACAATTTTGTTGTGTTGGTTCAAATTTACATTCAAATTTTGTGAGGATCGGGGTGTGTGTGTGTGTGTTTTGTGATCCCTGTATTTTCTAGCTCCTGCACACCTGTCCTCTATCAGCCCAGGTGTTAGTCAATGTCTATCATTGGTGTTCCTATTTATTCAGAGTCTTTGCATCTTCTCATTTGTTCATGGATTGCCCTAAGTGTCATGTTCTGTCTCTACTCCTCTTGTGATCTCCTCCTGAAATGTAAGTTTTGCTGCCATCATCTGCCATTTTTGTTAATAATAATAAATATTCTTTATTTTCTCTTTGAGTTTCCGAGTCATGTCTGCACCCTGGGTTCAACCTCACGTCAGATCATGATAGATTTATTGCGTAAAGTAAGTAGATAAGATTCAAGGATTCAAGGGCTCAAGGTTCTTTATTGTCATTCACATCGCATGTACATGAGCTGGAACGAAATTGTGTACACAGGGTCCCAGTTGCCTCCAACAACAGTAAGAATATAAAGTGTAAAAAGAAACAGTAAATAAGGATCTAAGATATAACCAAGATATATGAACGCCCAGCAGTACACTAAAACATCTAAGATATATTCCAGTCACTAATAGTGCAAAACAATACATCGAACAACAGCAGCACGATTCTCATGGGTTCATTTAGGTTATAATTTACATGCTTAATGCGAGTAGAGTCAGGCTCAGAGCCGACCCCAAAATTAACAAACTGGGATTTATTCAAAGCATGCAACAAAAATACTGAAACAAGGTGCCAAAAGTGAAAAAGAAATAAATCTACAGCAACATGGTCCTATTGGCAGAGTGGTTCTGATGACAGTGAGGTTCTCTTAGCAACATGGTCCAGTTAGCAGCATGATACTGTCAGCAGTGATGTTCGGTTAGTGACGTGGTCTTGTTAGCAGTGTTAGCAAGTCGGTCCCTTCAGCAGCATGATGATAATAAGGACCGCAGCATCTGCCTCCCAGACAGCCCTCCAGAACCGGGTCTGTCAGACAGAGAATATCCAAGGTTTCCCTGCGGAACCGAACGGGTCTGTAGAGTTCAGTCCGTGCAGGCAGATGGAGGATAATGGAGACAGCCGCCATGTCAGGCCTGAGCCTGAGGCTGGAAGGTATGAACCACAATGGCAAGGCAGCAACACAGAAAACTCCACAAGTGTGTCTCGGTCATACCTGTACTGTGGATGCGCAAAAAAAAAAACAGGAATAAAAACAGATCGAGTTCACCAGGAGCCTGTGAAGCTGCCGCTCTGCTGAGCGCGGCCATCTTGACTGAAGAAGCGTCAATGGTTAAATCAGTGGTCTTCTTATCAGAAGCCTGTGAGTTAAATCCCTGCTCGGAGCATCTATTTGAATCAGCGATGATCGATTTTAACTCTTTTTTTCTTTCACTTTTATAGTTTTAATTTTTTTATTTCACATAACTTTTTTCTCACCTTTGACTGAGTTAACTTGGCGTGTTATTTCAGAATTATCATTTAAAATCTAATTAGAAATCCAATCCAGAAAGCTGTGTACCTATCTGTTTTATTTTACACAGATACATTTTAAAATACTCCTGGATGCTGGAAGCGTCTGTTGCTCTGATTTATTATATAGGTGTGTTTTTCACGAGACGCAACCTCAACCTGCAGGAGGGAGTAAAAAGACAGTAAGTTTGTGCACAATAAACTAATTAAATATTAAGCAGCATATACTGTATCCACTATTTTTTTCTTAAGAAAATGTAACACATTTGTAAAATTTGTGTGGTTAGTGATTCAGGACATGAATGTCTTCCCCACTGATAATTTTGCTCAGGGTCAATCCCTATTTCACAAATTCTGCCAGGAAAATTCAGCTTGCACCCTACCTGATGGTGATGATCTGCCCAAAGTCAAGCTCATAGTTATTCACTTGGGCGATGAAGATGGCTGCCACGGCCTCATAGAGTGCAGTGCCATCCATGTTGATGGTGGCCCCGACGGGCAGCACAAAGCGAATGATGCGTCTGTCGATGTGGTTGTTTTCCAGGAGGCACTTAAAGGTGATAGGCAGAGTGGCAGAGCTGCAGCAGGTAAAGATCAGAGAAAAAAGACATCCAGGTGAGTTAATGGAAGATGTAGTTAAACTGTGGGCTTCTGAAGGTTCTGATGCTGTGCTGCATGAGTTTGTACAAGGCCGGATAGTTGTATTGCATAACTGTGGCTGAGTGGTTAGAGCAGTAGTCCTCCAATGCAAAAGTTGGGGGTTCGAATTCACCAGCAGTCACAAGTCGAAGTGTCCCCGGGCAAGACACTGAACCCCTCATTGCCTCCGATGTGTGTGCCATTGGTGTATGAATGTGATAAAGCACTGATTAGTCTCTTTAGAATGATTTGTTCAATTAGCTTTGTATAGATCTAGTAGAGTGCTGTATGAATGGGTAAATGAGGACACAGATTGTAGTGTAAAGCGCTTTGAGTATCTTGATCAGATAGAAAGGCTTTATATAAGTACAGTCCATTTACCATTTACACGAGAGGTACAGATGTCACACTGTTCATTGCAGTACTCAACAACTGTAATCAGCCAGACTACAAGTGCACTGTCCCAAGTGTAGGCTGCCAATAGCATTAAAGCAGAGACAGCTGAATTTGGAGTGATCCTGTACCCAGAAGGACTGATGTTGTGTAGTGGTATATCAAGTTCATATGAATCTTTTTTCTACACCACAGATGACTTTACATTTGGGGTAAGGTGGTTCAGAGTGAAGAGATACCATGGCATTACTCCTGGCAACTTGTTGTGAGGATCCATAGAGTATGACTTCAGGTCACCTCTGGTAGCGATGTGGGGGACCCTGATTGCACATTACTACATCAGTGACAACCTGTGTTTGCACGTTTTAACCATTCTGAGACAGAACTCTGGTAGTTTTTGACAGCACAACACTTCTTGGTCTGTTGCCTTCATACATCTCCTCTTATATGTCATTGTGTGAGTGCAGCTACAGCGTGCGCTCTCAGGACATTATTACATGCAGTGTCCCCTCAGTGCGGACTGAACTAGGCTAAAGGGCATTCTCCTACTCCACTCCTGTTTCCTGGAATATCTTGCAAAAAGATATGAAGCTCTCGACCTTGGCCTCCCTAAGTGGCTTCAAACATCTGCTAAGTTCCTGAGAAAACCCATTGCAGACATGTTCCTGTTTTTATTACTCTACATCGCTTTACAATCTAGCTGTTTTTGTTTCAGTTTTTAATACCATTTTATTTCATTCATTCTTCTCAATTTGTATACTTTTTATGATTGTCTACTGTTGTCATCGCTCATTGTTAAAATCAGGTCTCTCTTGTAAATGAGTCCCCGAGGCTCAGTGGGATTAACCTTGGGGGCCGAGATAGTGTAGGGGCAGGGCAGCCATCCCGGGTTCAACCCCTGGTCATTGCACATCTCCTGATGTCTCTGAGCAGGACACCCTATCCCCAGTTGATCCCCAGGTGCTTTCAATAGCTGCCCACTGCTCCATCTGGTGGTGGATGGCTTAAATGCAGAGAGCTAGTTTTGCCATTGTATGTGAACACACAATGATGACAATGCATACACATTATTATTATTATTATTAAAGGTTGAATTATCCATATACGGCGCATGACATGTGTATGATGAGGTCTTCTCAGAGCCAGCCCGGTTCCCCAAACTTTCTTCAATCAAACATGTGGGATCAACTCAGATGTCAACTCTGACCCAGCACCAATCTGCCAGTTTTTAAGGTCCAATTTCAACAGCTGTCAATCAACTTGCTGCACGAGAGCAACTGTAGGACTTTGATGGTAAATGGTAAATGGACTGTACTTATATAAAGCCTTTCTATCTGATCAAGATATTCAAAGTGCTTTACACTACAATCTGTGCCTCATTTACCCATTCATACAGCACTCTACTAGATATCTACAAAGCTAATTGAACAAATCATTCTAAAGAGACTAATCAGAGCTTTATCACATTCATACACTGATGGGACACACATTGAAGGCAATGAGGGGTTCAGTGTCTTGCCCAGGGATACTTCGGCATGTGACTGCTGGTGGATTTGAATCCCCATCTCTAGCATTTGAGGGCAACTGCTCTAACCACTCATCCACAGTCGCCCTGATCTGGTCTGAATCACGGCTTCAAGTCTGTGATTCTGTGGTTCAAGTCTGAGAGTGTACTACACCCTTCTGACATGGGAACACACCTGCACCATCTTTATATGCATTTAATGTGATATTGTAATCAGTGGACTACAGGTACATGGCCTTTTTACACATGCATGTCCACCACTCTGTTTGTGTTCTTCACTTTTATGTGAGTAAATGCACCGATATTTGTTTTATGCAGGAAAACACTTAGGGTCCATGAGACTCAACATAACAAATTAACTGCAAACCAGAAGAAAGCACTGGTAAAAACCACAAGCTATTCTATTGTTAACTAAAACCTACTCATCTACAGTACGTTCATAAAGTAAAACAGCACTCTGAGTATTATGACAGTGTTTCAGCAAATCCTTCAAACATAATTTTTAATTTTTATTTCCACACTCACTCTTTTTAGTTTTAATTCCATGTAACACTGGTATTCCCTTTGCTGTGCTATGCTTTTTCCGTCATAAGAAAATGTTTATGTTGTATTTATTGACCGGCAGCATTGTCATTTGGTCTAACAAACAATATCAAAAAAGTTTTTATCAATAATACATCTTAAGAAGAGCTGTATTGATGCTTTTTAAGAGTGCTACAAGGAACTCAAGTAGTTACCCAGATAATTTTCTTTCTTTTGTTCTGTCTTTTCATGAGAAATACAAATTATGTTGATCCATAATTTTCCTTTTACCTGGAGGAGGTGGCCAAGGAGATGAGCAATGCCTGTAGAATGCCTCTGATGTACACTATGGGGCTCTTCTTGGTAATGAAGAAATACATGGCTGGGAGAATAAATAGGCCATGAAGCACCAAGCCCATTACCACAGTGATGGCATAAAAGCCCAACTTCTTTCCCATGGCTGAAGGGTCATCCATCTCCAAGATCTTCCCAGCAACCAGGAACACAATACCAAAAGGAAAGTACCTGAAAGTGGAAAAAGTTGGACACTTTAAAGCATCATGTTTTTGTTCGCTGTTCAACTGACTGCTGATAACAGCAGGCTAAAAACTCTTGCATTTTTTGTTAATGTGTGTTTTCCAACAATAATTTCGTTTTACACAAAGCCTACCGTTAAAAACTTAAACAGGACAAAGTAAATTCAATTGATCATTTTAGCACAGATTTTAACTGGGGAAAGCTACTCCACATTTACATGGACTTCCTAAAATGCACAAAGAAGGTACACCACTCAGACTCATCATCAGTAGCACAAATTCAGCGACATATTACTTTAGCTATTGAGGTATTTAGCTATTTAGCTATTGAAGTCAATGAGGAAAGAGAAGAACAAATGCAAAAACTTTGTCATCCCATATGTTGCTGAAGTATCCAAGATACAGAATGATTTCTTTCTAACAAAACATCTTGATGCATTTCAAACCTAATAGGACTCAGAGGCTGGTGTATCCTAAGGTCACCCCCCCCCCCCCCCCCCCCCCAAAAAAAAAAAAAGAGTGGTGTGGTGTATGCAGTTCAGTGCAGTGAGGAATGTTCAGACCTCCATATTGGAGAAATTAAACAACTTGTCCACAGATGCATGGCTCAACACAAGAAAGCCAGCTCTTCACAACAAGATTCACCTGTGCACCTACAACTCAAGGATTTTTGTCTCTTTTGAAGACAAAAATGTTCATATCTGTATTGTCCAGTGGTAAAGGATACCATTTATGTAAAAAAAAAAACTTCAAACAGAAAAAAGGTCTGATTTCAGCTTTCTAAAACCTACAAAAAAGAATTAAGTCTGATATCCAGTCAGTTTCACTTCACACGTGACCAAAACATCTCTCTTGTGAGCCAGGCAAACAAAGATCTAACAACTCTCCATTCTGAGAGGAAGGTAATTTAATATGCATGTGAATCTACCTTCACAATAAAGTATTTAATACTACTTAAAGAAAATAATATTTTAACATCAACTAAGTAATTCTCAGAGACTTAATACTTTAAAACTTAACCAACAGTATGGTCAAATAAAGAACAAAATCCTCATGTCTATGGTATTTATTCTCTTGTTTTTCAAAAACTTTCAGATATTGTTCAGTTACAGGAGACAGTTTTATTAGGTGTGACTTCTTTCTTCTTCCTTTAGCTCTTCCATTTTCAGGGGTCAGTACAGTGAGTCATCCTCCTCTATCTCACCCTGTCTTCTCTCTGTCCTCACTCCAACTACCTCCTTGTCCTCTCTAATTGCATCCATAAATCTGCTCTTTTAAATCTTCCAGCTTTTCTCTTAGTCTTATTTGTGGCAACTGTATTTCTAACAGCGGCACAGTGGCACAGTTGGAAGAGCTGCTGCCTCTCAGCAAGCAGGTCGCCCCAGTTCAAATCCCGGCTAAGGGCCTTTCTGGGTGGAGTTGACATGTTCTCTCCATGCACACATGGGTTTTCTCCGGGTACCCCGGTTTCCTCCCACAGACCAAAAACATGCATGTTAGACTCATTGGTAACTCTAAATTGTGTCTAGGTGTGAGAGAGAGAATGAATGGTTGTTTGTCTCATGTGTCTCTATGTGTCCCTGTGATGGACTGAGACCTGTCAAAGGTGTCCCCCACCACTAGCACAGTGATGGCTGGATATGGGCACCAGTGACCGCAGCAAGTCAAAAAGGTAAAGATCATGATGATGGATGGATGGATGGATGGATGGATGGATGGCTGGATGGCTGGATGGATGGATGGATGGATGGATGGATGGATGGATGGATGGATGGATGGATGGATGGATGGATGGATGGATGGATGGATGGATGGCTGGCAGGATGGCTGGATGGATGGCTGGATGGATGGATGGATGGATGGATGGATGGATGGATGGATGGATGGATGGATGGATGGATGGATGGATGGATGGATGGATGGATGGATGGATGGATGGATGGCTGGCAGGATGGCTGGATGGATGG